TTTCTTTCAACTTTTGATCGATTTTGATTAACCTAAACTAAGACGCCTAAGATTTTAAGCTTCATTATTGTTCAAGATAACTTAAACAATTTAAAACTACATTTACTTACCTTTAATTTGATACCAATTTTAATTATCAAAATTATTGGATAGCTTAGAAAATGATTTGTGAAAAAAACGCGTTTGTTTTTAAATGGCTAAGACGATTCTATGAGGGATACTCACTTTTTAACTCAGTGCTGCGGCATGTTAGTTTTTACAAACTTTTATTTAACTTATTCTGTCTGTCTAGATTGAAACGCCTGAGCAAAATTTCGGGCTATTCTATATCTAACTGACAGGCGAATTGGATGCCTAATTAGTTTGTTATGAATTAATTAAAATTGAGTCCAAATTATTAGGCTATCTTATCCAAATATTCCGTATAATTATACGCGCGTTGTCATATTCATTAGGTGTGCAATGGTTTTTAGTCATGCAACTCTATTTAAATTTTAAAAAAATTAAAATACTGAAAAACAAAATTGTTTTTAGTGGAAATGCATATGCGGATGTATCTTAATAAAACTGTAAAGAAATAACTGTTTTCTAACGAGTATTAAAAAAGTTTTTTTTTACCGGAGCCTCCCCCCTTAAAGCTATAGCCGACAGAAAGTTTAGCTTTATAATGTGTTAAACTTTTAAATGGGCAACATGGTCTTCCATGGAAGCCATGTTTGTTGTGAAGTAAATAAAGTATTTGGAAAGAAACTCTGCATGCAGACTCCTTTTAAAATTAGAAAAGTAAATTAGGCGGTACTGTTAGTGTCTTTATCAGAGCCGGCGTTAGAAGGTGGCAAACGGGGCGGTCGCCCTAGGCCCCGCGCCTGAAGGGGCCCCGCGCTTCAGCACTGTCATTGTTATCTGAATTAGTTTGTAAACTTAAAAAAATGTTGCTGAATTCAATGGGGAAAAACTAAATGGTCGAATGCCGACGCTGTTGATTATTATAACTGAGGCCACGGTTGATGTTAGTGAGTTATCACCCACCTGAACTGGGACAGGCCGTAATTCGATACAAAAACAGTGTCAGACCTCCCCTTTGTGTAGGGTACGGTCGCCTGGCATTTGACCTGAGCTGACTGGAGATTGTTGGATGCGAATCAGCCCCCGACCTGACATGGCATGTAAATTTGGGAAACAGGTAAAAAGATACCTATTGTATGCGGGCCGATTAAGACGTCCTTTTAGTGAGCAGAGGGATGCCTGTAGTAGACAGTTAGTGACCTGATAAACGCCAGTCCTGACTTTCTTGTTGTAGATGTCGTATATGTAGCCCTACTTGTCTTGGTATAACAAAATTAACATTCAGTTGCGTGCAGAGGGGTGGGAAAAGGGCGATAAGGGGGGGGGGAGGCCCTTAGGATTTATATCAAGGGGCATTAGACAGAGTGATTTATTATTTTTTTTAAAAGAAAGTTAAAAGGGTTGATGTAGCATGTTTTCTCTATCATTAGCAGGTTTACGTCATGGTGTCACCAACCCCCCCCCCCCCCCTCCTCTCCACCCTTGTCGGAATTTATCAAATTTGCTCTTAAAAGACTATTTAACACTCTAATTAACCACTTTGTAAAGTGGAACTATCATTTTTTTGTATATCTTTTGCTATTTTTTTTGCCTTGGTGTCACCCCCCCCTAAATGGTCCGCACCCCCCCCCCCCTCGCTACGCCCATGCTTTTATATTAACAATTAGAATCTAGTCATCAACAAACAATTTAAACAACTTTATTTTCCTAATTATTTGGCACGTGATTGAATTTTCTTAAGTGATTTGGTATGAATTACATATCTGTCAAAAGTTATTAAATATCTTAGCAAAAAAAAAAACCCCACTAAGAACATTAGGTTAAAACAGTGGTTCCCAACCTTTTTCGAGTGGCGACCCCCTTTTATAAAAATTAAGTGACCCGCGACCCCCATAGAATTAAAAAGCCGAAATTAGTATGGAAATTAATAAGCACTAGAATAACATTTTCTAGTAGACTTTCAATATGAACTACTCTTGATAACTGTTTTAATACCATGAGAAAAATTGCATACTATTCACTAAACATTCGCGGTTAATTTTTTTTAAAGTATTTTTTTTTGTTAACGCCAACCTATGTCATTATCATTATCTTAATTTTGTTTTTAATCGAAAAATAGTGTTGAAAATCTATTCTCGAAAAGTCAATCAATTTTACGTTTGGGTATGAATGGTGAATACTACACCAAAATTGAGTGTGCAGTTTTTTTTTATCTTACGCGGAATCATTCTACAAATCAAAGAATTCATCTTGTAATTCATCGTGAATGCTAGCAACATCGAGGGAAGAAGAGAATGGATAATGCGTTAATGCAGATTCTTCTTTTTTCAGCTCAGAGAAATAGCGCTGCAGTTCGTTTTCAAGAGATTCAAGATGCCCAGAAATTTCTTGTTTCAAAATTTTAATTATCTCACAATTAGATTCATCTACCACACTGCAGAGTTTCTCAAATTTACAAATTTCCAAGATTTATTTTCTTCGCCGATTTTGCAGCTTTTATAAAAACGCCCCGAGATAATCATGGAAAGTGATAATATTCGTTCATTTTCCCTGAAGCTTCAGGTTATGCTTATGTTGATGTTCGAACACATCTGCTAGGTATGATACTCTCTCCAACCACTCTATGTTGTTTTAAGTATACCAAAAGGTCTTGTTTCCTTTGCATTTCCAAGAACAATTTGATTTCAGATTTCAATTCAAAAACACGATTCACAACAATTCGTTTGACAGCCAGCGCACTGTAGTGTAGAAGAGCAGAACCTCGTGATCTTTATTCAGGTCTTTGCTCAGTTCTTTGAAGGCTCCAGATTGTATATAATTTACCACTCATACCAGCAATGGAGTCTTGATGGCGATTGGTGAGGGCAATGGTTAGGGAGCTAAATCTTTTCTGCTTTCTGAAAGCCCGATTTTGTCCTAAACATAGATGGTGCACCATCAGTACAAACCCTCACAGCCGTTTTAACCCATTTTAATCATCCAATTTTTTAAAAAAAAACTATTTATTTTCTCCATGCTATCTTCACAAAAGAGCTACTCTTCTTTGCTATCATCTGAATGAATATAGACAAATACCAGCAACTGCGAACACGAACTCACGTCTGTTGATTTATCAACTTGAAAAGCAAACAATGGTGAACGCTTAATTTTTAATAAAAATGTGTTATTTAACATCTACGGACATGTAAGATTTAACTTCACCATCTTCAACATGCAGCGTTTGATGAGATTTTCTCCTATTGTGTTTGTTTTTGCTTGGCATTTTCTGTCGCGACTTCATGTGATGCTTGCACTAATGCTGTGTTTCCTTGGTGAAAACTTCCTGTTCGATCAAGTCTCTGACGTTTGCAACTAGCTTCATACCGACGAAAGAACTCCATATCTTTTTTGGTGTGTTTCGAATGACTCGTATCAAATGACGTTTTAGTTTTGAAGATTTCATAAACTCGTGACTGAGAACAGCTTTGTACAGTACACTTTGTTTCTTCTCTATTCCCTTTCCAGTGATGTTAGTAAAGCCGAATTTAAAAAAATTCTTCTAAATATTTATGTTTTGTTTCAAATTACTAAGGTTTAGTATACCAGTTGGCGACCCCCTAGAAAGCCCTTCGCGACCCCCAAGGGGGTCGCGACCCCCAGGTTGGGAACCCGTGGGTTAAAACGTGGGAGAGCTAAACATCTGTTATTAAAGTCTTATAGACTCCAAAACATTTATGTGTTATTATGTGTGTAGTGTGTATGCATATTATATAGGACTATACACACACACACACACACATATATATATATATATATATATATATATATATATATATATATATAATGGAAAAAAGCAGGCCCCGCGCGGATGGTTGGCCCTAGGCCCCGCGTATTCCTAACGCCGGCTCTGGTCTTTATAACAAAGTTTCGACGACATCAATATTATTGAATATTCTTTTCAGCATTAGATTTTAAATTATATTTTTACTTTAGATTCAATGGTGTTTATTGTGTATACTTTTCCAGCGTTAAAACTTTATAATTTTCGTTTCATTTTGATAAATTCCTATTCGTTTCAAGTGACATCATTATAGTTCCCCGTGAAAGTTTTTAATTTTTGTGAAAAAAAGTAAATAAACTTTTTGTTCTGAACTTTTATAATTTAAGGGGTGTTTCTACAAATGAATATATCAATAAATTATTTATCGCCTTTAAATAAATTTTAGTAAAAAAGAACATTTATTTCTACATAAATCCGTACTTTACAATTCTACACATAGTGCAGATCAAGCGGAATAGCAAAAAAAAAACGGGATTATATATATATATATATATATATATATATATATATATATATATATATATATATATATATATATATATATATTTCCGTTTGTAAATATATAAGAGTTATAGTAGTATGATATTAGCGTTTATTTTTTTATTATTTTATTTTTATCTGGTTCTAACTTTGTCTACAACAGACAACATGAACAATGTCTACAACAGACAACATGAACAATGTCTACAACAGACAACATGAACAATGTCTACAACAGACAACATGAACAATGTCTACAACAGACAACATGAACAATGTCTATAACAGACAACATGAACAATGTCTACAACAGACAACATGAACAATGTCTACAACAGACAACATGAACAATGTCTATAACAGACAACATGAACAATGTCTACAACAGACAACATGAACAATGTCTACAACAGACAACATGAACAATGTCTACAACAGACAACATGAACAATGTCTACAACAGACAACATGAACAATGTCTACAACAGACAACATGAACAATGTCTACAACAGACAACATGAACAATGTCTACAACAGACAACATGAACAATGTCTACAACAGACAACATGAACAATGTCTACAACAGACAACATGAACAATGTCTACAACAGACAACATGAACAATGACTCACCCAGGAGAAGGCGTTGCTGCCCAGACCATCAGACAACATGTCTGACAGGACTGAGGTGTAGGAGTGGCCAATTGGATAGTAGGCGTGGTAGTTGGGGTGCTGCCAGTGACTCATCTAGACAGGAGTAGAGATTGGGTACATGGACCGTCGGTATAAAGCTGTCGGTATAAAGCTGTCGGTATAACATCAAGTTACAATGCGTATAATCAAGTACTGCATCGTAGTGTCCGCCGCTCTCCTAGCTACGCTTCTGACAGACGATATAAAATTTTATGGTGTCGCCTAAGATTTTAAGCTTCATTATTGTTCAAGATGACTTAAAAAATTAAAAACTACATTTACTTACCCTAATTTACTTAATTTGATACCAATTTTATTTATCAAATTTGAAATTAGCCTAGAAAATGATTTGTGAAAAAACGCGTTTGTTTTTAAATGGCTAGGATGACAAGACTGATTTCCAGTGATACAGTGGGTTAGTTTTTAAGGAGTGTTGTGATGCCATTGACCGTTCACTGCCGTTCAGCAGAAATATGTCGTCTGCTAGATTTCTCCCCATTCAAATACACTTAGTTAGCTGTTGTCTCGATCAAGTTATTGTTTGTATGTTTTGTTTTTATCCAGCATGCCTTTTAAAAAATTAATGAAATTATTTTAGTTGGACGCA